CATTCTGTCAACAGGTGTTTACACGAATTGATAAAATATCCATTACCTTTTCCTCGAAGTTTTTCACCGCATTGATTTTCCTGGAGTACTTCTTTCTTAGGATGTTATGGCAGTGCTGCACAGTATTAGCTTGCTATTAGATAACTCCCTATTTACACACACATCTCTGTTTACATAGAGCAATCCTGTCCTTGGCTGACCTCCCAAAACAGATTTGGATTAAAAATAAAAACCAGACCAGCTTGATCCAGCTGGAAATGATATAAGGTCTCTTGGCTATTGCAAAGTGAACATGGGTAGATACACTCACATGGAGGAAGCATGGCAGATGCACTTGTCGCATATTTTGAAGAGTTAGAACAAAGTTTGAGTCCAGCGGCACCTTTAAGACCAACAAAGTTTAATTATGGGTATACCTTATACCCAGAATTAAACTTTGTTGGTCTTAAAGGTGCCACCAGACTCATATTTTTGAAGACTATTATTGCCAGGAAAACTGCAGTTGTCACTATTTCTTGGGCTATCTGCAGTAAAGAATATATCCTAGCAAGTGGGAACCTGCAAGGACTTACAAGAAGCATCTCACTTCCCCCTCTCCCATTATTTCCTCTTTCCTTTTCCTGAAAGCCCCTGTAGTCTCTCCCCTTTTCCTGATTCCCTTTGTCCTTCCCAGCAAACAGCCAACCTACTTTATGTGTCCTTCAGTCTCAGAGATCAGTTTCCTTTATGGTTGCCAGATCGAGGTTGGTTGGGAAATCCCTGGAGATTTGGGGGTAGAGCCTTCAGAGGGTAAGGTCTGGAAAGGAAGCAATCTCAGCAGGGTATAATGCCATAAAGTCCACTTGAACTGATCTCTGTCATCTGGAAAGCAGTTGAAAAGTCCAGGTAATCTCCAGCCCCTACCTGGAGGTTGAAGCCAAAAATGAGAGATCATGGGAGGAAGTGGAAATCCAAAAACAACATCTGTGACAAAAATAACTAAGTCAATAAAGATATGTTTGCAAAATCATTTACTGTAGTAATTCTGTAGAAAATCTCCAGCCCCTACCTGGAGGTTGAAGCCAAAAATGAGAGATCATGGGAGGAAGTGGAAATCCAAAAACATCTGTGACAAAAATAACTAAGTCAATAAAGATATGTTTGCAAAATCATTTACTGTAGTAATTCTGTAGAACATTCTCTTCTATTATCGCTCACACACAATGAATGCTGCATTATGTAAACAATTTGTTTCACAATAATTGCTTTATCTGAGTGTGTAGCAAACACAATTCTTATCAATTTCTACTTATCAACTATTTTTTTCCCAATCCCCTGGGGGGAGGT